GAGAGAGATGGTGGAAGAAGCAAGGTTGCCACCAGCAGTGATTGGAGCAGAAGCTGGAGCAGCTGGAGCAGCTGGCGGTGGAGTAGCATTGCCACCAGAAGAGGGTGCCTTGTAAGGAAACTTGCGGAACCCACGATGTTCACTGGTGAAATGAGAGCTGGTGCCTTTGGAGAACCTTCCACAGTTGCGACAGTATTTAGCAACCACCTTCCCATCAACAGAAATGGTGTGTTGGGCATCATCGGGAATATTCTCCCTTGGAGGCATGGAAAGCAAGCTTGTCTTTAATAAGAGTAGTGAGTTTGGAGTTGGTTTCAGCACTCAGACCGTTGTCCTTGGGAGCACCTCGCTTGGGACATGCTGGATCGTTCTATGATGATCAGTAGCTCCACAATCAAAGCAGGCGCCTCCACGAGGACGGGTACCGCCACTGGTTGATCCACTGTTTCGATTCTGGGTGAGACTCCCAACATTTGCCTCAACTGCTTTGTCAATTGCTGCCTGGAAGGCTTTGGCCTGGGATCCCTTGGATCCAAGATGTTGGGCAGGCTCATAAGTTTTCTTGTTGATGAGGACCCGATAGAGGGCATCCAAGTCATTCAAATGTGTCGAGTGTCTCCAATTGTTTGTTCCCATGTTGCTATCGAAATCCGTTGTGGTCACTCTTGACAACAAGCTTATGGACTTTGGATCGAAAGTAATGACAACCACAGCCAAGGAGACCTCCTCGGGATGTGTGTTAGTTCAGGCATTGGGATCACTGGACATAAAGTTCTAATCTGATTCTCTTTGATGACTTGATTGCATCGACAAACATACAATGGACATCATTTTCACCCAGGGAACTTGGTGATGTCCAAGTGAAGTAGCTTGGCTTTGAGAGGTTTCAATCTTACTGAGAGGAAGGTCTGTATATTTTCTGCAGGAGAGCACAGAGAAGTTGGGTGACCCATTGTGTTTGGATCGAGGGACATATGTATTTAAATTCTTCCTGAAGTGCATCGTGAAAGAGTTTCAAGACAGCCTTTCCCGACAGGCAAGGTTGGTTAGGAGATCATACTGGCAAACAGGATGTTGCTTCAGAGTCACCATTGCATCGATAGTCTGACCCCATTGACTTGTGGTCCCTGATGCCATTTTTTCCATCATAGACTCTGGAACCTGTCCAGGAGCAGTGAACTTGTTGATTTTTATAAATAGTGTTAGTATTAAGGTCTCACACAACAAGTGGAAGGGACCCATTCCATTCCAATGCTTGTCATGACTTTCAAAGGGATAGAGGCTAGACATGAGACGCCAGCATTGGAATCAGTCAGAGTGGAACATAGTAGGACTGGTGGAATCTTCAGTCCTTTCTTGCATGCCAATTCGATAGGCTGGAGTGTGGTGTGATGTTTCAGATGTGTCGATCACCATGGAAACCCTGAGGCATAGGGTGCTTTGAGGTTCCTTTCCAGTCCATCGGAGCCAGAAATCCTGTCCAGGCTCCAGTGTGTTTGATACCTCCAAGCCGAGGGGCTTCTGTAACTTGTGTCTCTCTCTTTGGTTTTCCAATGTGCTGAAGGAGCATCCTGGAATGAACTGCGGTCAAGGGTGCTTCAGTCATGGTTGGAGGATCAGATGGTGTGGATGATTGGATCAGATTCAAGGAAAGCTTGTCTGAAGCCTAGTGGACTGAACAAGGATGCTGTTGCTGGCGCTGCTGTTGTTTAAGATGAAGATGCTGAGGCAGAGGAAGCGTCGTCAAGGTCCATCAATAATAGCTGATGGAATAGGAGGCAGTGAAAATCAACAAGGTCAACAGTGCCAGCAATCGGCAACAAGAGCAATGGTAACAAGAGGAGGCCGGTGGATATCCAGTCAATCGAGTCAATCGAAGATGGAATTTATGAGCTTTATTGTTGTTCTTCGCGTCGTTCGGCGAATCGTCGTGCGGATCGGTCGTTTGAATAACAACAGTGTTGTTCTTCGCGTCGTTCGGCGAAGTAGTTGGATAATCTTTTGAGTAGGAATTCAAACGACCAACTGCAAGCCAGTATATGTTCGAACGACCGATGCCAGTTCTAGGTAGCAAGATACCAATGACAACTGCCGATCGACGTCCATCGCTCGCGTTATTGTTGTTCACAACAACAACACAGCGATCGATCGGCAGTTTGTTTGTCTTCAACGTAGTACATTCGAGTTAACGAAAAAGTGAGGAGGTTTCGAAGAAGACATAATCCAAGCATGACTCAACCAATTCCAACCGATAATAGAGGGTGAAATGGCTCCCGAAGCATGACTCGAAGCCTGACACACAAGCCGAGCCTCATATATGCAGTCGGAGCTCATTTTTCGACAGATTCTGTTAACTTCTCGATCGCGACCTCTGTTAACTCGGCGATCGATCCATCCATGCTGAAGCTGAGCATGGGAGGCGCTGACGATGGCCTGACTTTACCGGTGATAGAGATAACAGTAGTAGCAGTAGAATTAGCAGTCTTAGATAGCGGCTCTTTAGCGCTGGCTGATAGTAAGGTGGACTCCCATAGGAGTCCAGTGTCCCCATCGCGATTTCGATCAACGACAGGATGAAAGGTGACTCCTGTAGGAGTCCATGGTTGCGATTGCTTACGAGCGAATCACCAACAAGAGGAGGATTGCTTACGAGCGAATCCAAGGGAATTAAGTTGCAATAAGGGGAAGGACTACCGATGAAGAGTGCAAGAGGAAACTCTGGAGCAATCTGCATCAAGGAGTAGCGCAATCCATTGACAACCATAAGGGATAGACATATAAGAATAAGAATGAGTAACATCTCATAACCTCGCATGCTACATGCGACAATTACCATTGTGCATTGACTAGTCTAGGATCTAAAGATGTAAAGTTTGTATTTCCAAATAAGTGAGCAGTTATTGATTATGTTCTAGAATAAGCCTGCTAATTGTAAAGCTGTAAAGCTGAATTGTAAGCTGTATCCCGTCGCAAATGACTTCATTTCCACAAGGTGGGATGGCAACATCCATATCCACCTGGGGCTGAGGGGATGGACCAAGATGGTCCTCAACATCACTCATCAATCCTGAACCCAAACCAATTGGTTCTGAACTGCCTTGAGACTGTGCTATAGAACCAGTGGTTCCTTCCACACCCTGTCGCATGGGCAGTAAACCATTAGGATGGTGATCCAATGAAGAGGATGCATTGGAAGGAATAGGGCTGATCCCTCCAATACCCATGAGGCAAGTTGGCTTGTTTTTTGGTCCAGCAAGTGTGGACCAAGCCATTGGTGGAGACACTAGACTGGTTGATGTCCTGTTGTTGTTTGGATAGCCTGGCCTCAAAAGCAGCCTGTCGCTCCATGGTCTCCTCCTCTTGTTGGTGCAATGCCTCCACCAGTTGTTTTTTTTTTTTTTTTTTTTTTTCTGCTAGCTGTTGGCTAATCATGGTGGTATCATGCTGGGCAAGGTTGGAGGATGCAACAGATGATCCACTGAGTTGGTAAGATGGTGGGGAACCACAGGTAGCCGGTGAACTGAAGGCTGATCCACTGGTGACTTGACAGGGGTGGATGGTGGTGGTTTGCGGTGGTGATGTGCGTACCGGTGGTGTAGTTAGTTCGCCTGGTGTGGTCATCCTGTGGGGTGCGTATGTCTGTCTGCTCGTGCCTGCAGTCTGCCTGCTGCAGCTGCGCTGCTGTCTTGTTGCTTGCTTGTGATCTCCTCCCTCTTGCTTCTGCTGGTTACCCATGATGACCTGCTGTGGTTGTGTGGGTTTGGGGGGGGTGGGGGGTGGGTGGGGGCTGAGTGTTGCGTGTAGAGGTACGTGTTGTTGAAGAATTGCCACGAAAGAATCCAAGTGAGGACTTGAGGACTTGCGCTTGATGGTAGGTGATCAATTGAAGGCTCCTTGACACACTGGTAACCTCGAAAACCTGGTTAATGTGTGGATCAGGTAGTCTCGTGTTGCTCCGAGGTTACTCCTGGAAGTCACGCCGTAACAGTGCGATCGATTCGTATCTTCCCAACAGAGTTCGGACATATCCACGAAAATGTGAGGCGCTGGATCTTTAGCGCTCCGGCTTGCTTCGGACAGAGCCTGCGACGGGTACGTGTAGCCTGTCTTGTGTCAGTCCGGTGTGAGTACCGTGTCTCGTTGGTACCCGATAGGCACGACTGGGGATTCCTCTTCTTCCGCTACGAAAAGAAGGGGAATCGACAATGTGTGATCTGTCGCCAGTGCTATCCACTGTCGGCCGCTGGAACCCCAGCACGCGTCCAGTCCTTACTTTTGAACAAGATAACTGCGGCTTGGTGTCGTCTTACTCAAGCACCCTCAGGTTAGTAGGTGGACCAAGTGCTTCCACTTGAATCGGTCGTTATTACAGTTTTCGGTCGTTCGCCGTATCGGCAGTCGCGATCGGCCGATGAGCAACTCGTCCTCTCACTCTTTCTCCTCGATTTCCACACTCCTGCAGAGCCACTCCTTGTGCCTGCAATCTGCGACAATGTTAATCCGATGAGATCCAGTCAGGGTAGTGCACAAAGAGCTGGAGAGTGGAGAACTCTGCCTGGAGGTCTCTCTCCTCTGGCACTTGGGAATGGGCCAGCCACAAAGCTGGCTGCCACTGTTATTCAATCTCCACAGCAATGATTGAACAACTTACTCTTTGCCTTGGCACAATCCACACAGGAAGGCTTCGACTGTGGGGAAACTAGTGCTACTGAGGCTGTATCTGGTCAACTATCCTTTCATTACTTCTTCTTCTTTAAACTATGCTAAAATCAACTGAACACAAAATCCTCGACAGCACTCAGCCATCAGCTTTGGCTCTCTTGCATCTCATTTGGCTGGTGCTGGCAAGCTAACTTTCTATATTGGTCTTGGCTGAAGAACTGCATCATCCTTGGGTATATAGAGTTCCTCAGCTATTCTGTATTGCCAGATGGCTGCACTGCTGACCCTACTGTTGGAGTATACAGATGTCACAGCGATTCTTCCACCTGGCTAAACCAGCACAGCTGCTTCGCACCACAATGGGAGTTCACGTGGATTTCCACTCATCGGAACCGAGCCGAAACACCACGTTCCAGTGGCACCCAGAGGGTGTAGCCAGTGGTGACAGTCTGATAACACCTTCCATCTCACCGGATGCTGTATAGAGGTTGATGCAGCCAGCTGGTGTGGACTTATCGGTCCCGATTCAACCTCGCATTCCAGGGGTCGAACCAGCAAGAAAACGCCGATTCGAGGTCCAAAACGGGTGCTTAGACCAGGTCGAAGAGGGTTTCTTGGGCCTACTAAGCGTGCCCGACAATGTGGTATCACTTTCGGGGACTTTCCAAAAACGGCCTTTCTCCACCATTTTCATGGGCTATAGCAAGGCAAAATGGTCAGATTTTGCCCAAAACGAACCGGCCCCTCAAACATTGGGAACATGAAGAGGAAGTCGATACAATCATCAGGGTTCGACAGCCGTGACCAAAAACTCAATTCACGAGTCTATATATAGGAAAAACCAGCCTATGCGCGTTGGATACCTCCCCTGCCGCAGAACCGAGCCGAAACACCTCCCCTGCCGCAGAACCGAGCCGAAACACCACGTTCCAGTGGCACCCAGAGGGTGTAGCCAGTGGTGACAGTCTGATAACACCTTCCATCTCACCGGATGCTGCATAGAGGTTGATGCAGCCAGCTGGTGTGGACTTATCGGTCCCGATTCAACCTCGTGGCATTCCAGGGGTCGAACCAGCAAGAAAACGCCGATTCGAGGTCCAAAACGGGTGCTTAGACCAGGTCGAAGAGCGTTTCTTGGGCCTACTAAGCGTGCCCGACAATGTGGTATCACTTTCGGGGACTTTCAAAAAACGGCCTTTCTCCACCATTTTCATGGGCTATAGCAAGGCAAAATGGTCAGATTTTGCCCAAAACGAACCGCCCCCTCAAACATTGGGAACATGAAGAGGAAGTCGATACAATCATCAGGGTTCGACAGCCGTGACCAAAAACTCAATTCACGAGTCTATATATAGGAAAAACCAGCCTATGCGCGTTGGATACCTCCCCTGCCGCAGAACCGAGCCGAAACACCACGTTCCAGTGGCACCCAGAGGGTGTAGCCAGTGGTGACAGTCTGATAACACCTTCCATCTCACCGGATGCTGCATAGAGGTTGATGCAGCCAGCTGGTGTGGACTTATCGGTCTCGATTCAACCTCGTGGCATTCCAGGGGTCGAACCAGCAAGAAAACGCCGATTCGAGGTCCAAAACGGGTGCTTAGACCAGGTCGAAGAGCGTTTCTTGGGCCTACTAAGCGTGCCCAACAATGTGGTATCGGTTAACTTATTAATTACACTTTCCCCGAAGGGATTATGTTCTACGTTTAGATTTGAAAACGGTATATGCAAGCCTCTTGCTAGGGCTTGCCTTTAACCGTTTGTGGGTATAGAAAAGGATATATGAGATGCATCTTGCCATGGAAGTGTTTGTGTTTTCTGTGGGTGCGATATGGCGCCCTTTTTTGTTGTTTGTAGTGTTGTTGGTTCAGTTAGCTGGTGGACCTCTAATGATCCAGTTTTCCATCAGGTTACGTTCGTAGTTCTGATCATTGCGAGGTTGGACTTGGTCTGCCGCCGCTGCAGAACGGGCGTTCTCCACACTAGCTAGCCATTGTTGTTTGTTTGTAGTTGTCTGCTCCATAATGGAGTCGAGGCCATGTCGGAATATGGGTCTGTCTTCCGGGCGCAGGCTAGCGGCGCCTAGAGACCATTGGAACCTTATTTCTTCGTTGAGGGTAGTTCGGAGGTGTGGGTCGAAGGCTGGATGTGGGTCATTGTGTTTGATATGATTGCGGTGGTCCCACATGTCCCAGGAAATATCAAGAAGTTTTCGTATGACTGCAGTGGTCCAGCGGAAACCATTGCGGCGATTGCCTAGGGATTTGTAGTGGGCTTCTTGCAATTGGGTGAACCGGTGGCTGATGCGTCCGAGCAATAGGTTGTACCATCCTATCTCAGTCTGTTCAGCGAGTGCAGCTCTGACGTCGGCACGGAGAGGTCCCAGGCGTGGAGGGCTCCTCTTTCCCCAAGCCCGGAGATGTTCTATGATGTCGTACCGAAGTGATTGATTTGTGCCAAGTTTGCGAAGGTGCTTGTCTAAGGAGACCAATGCCTCAGCCCAGGTAAGTCGTGCACCCCGGCTAGGACACAGCAGAACATGCTTAGGGGTTTCATCATCT